TCAATGAAAATGATGACGCAATGAATAAACGACTCAAAGCTGATGCCCAGAGACATGCTCAGGGAAGGCACCAAGCTAGACAATTAAATCATCACATTGCGCTAATTTCAAAAGAACATGAAATAAATGTGCCAGTTCATACATTTGGCCAAATGAATGTAGAATGTCAATTTTGCAAATCGTTAAACTTTGCATGTGAAAAATCTAAAGATGGAAAATTTACATATTGTTGCCAAAAGGGAAAGCTTAAATTAAAACCAATAAATTGTCCTAATTTTCTTAAAAAATTATATATGGGAAATGATTCTGTATCAAAAAATTTTCTTGATAATATTCGTTCATATAATAGCGCTTTAGCTATGGCTTCCATGGGTGCCCCGGGCAATAGAAATCCATTGGATGTTGTGAACAATGCTCCTTATTGCTTGAAGATTCATGGGCAATATCATCATTTGACCACAACGGCAATGCGCCCAGCGGATGGGCAAGCTCCGCGTTTTGCGCAGCTTTATTTTTTAGATACAGAAGAAGCTATTAATCATAGAATGAATAATAAAGCTAATCAAAAGTGTGATCCAGTCTTAATGAAAGATTTGTCCTGCTTTATGATCCAAAGCAATGAATTTGCAAAAACTTTTAAGATGATGCGTCAAGTTGAACAAGATCTTAATCCGAGAGGCAATAAAGTCATAAATTTAATGTTGTCCTTTTGAAATGATCCTCAACACGATCAAAGAAGATACAATGCTCCACGAGCTAATGAAATAGCTGTGGTTTTTCAAAATGTTGATGGTGAGCCTCCATTTGAGAGAGATATTCGAATTTATAACAAAAATTCGAACGATGTTCAACAAATATCAATTCTAGACAAAAGATGTGATCCAATGTGTTATCCGTTGTTATATCCATATGGTAACGATGGATGGCATTCACAACTTAAATCATATAATCCTAAATATCCAGGATTTAAAGTAACTCAAATGGATTATTATGCTCACCTGTTGGCACCATGAGTTGAATTTAGTCAATTTAAAAAAGCAGGAAAATTAAGATGTCAGTTTATACTTGATGCTTATATGAAAACTGAAGCAAATAGGCTTAATTATATTAAATTAAATCAACCTCAATTAAGAGCAGAACTTTATTCGGGATTAATGGATCACCTAGATAATCGAGCACAAAATGAAGGAATTAAAGCTGGTATACCTGTAATATTACCATCTTCATTTATGGGCAGTCCAAGAAATATGCAAGATAGATATCAAGATGCCATGTCTCTGGTTAGAAAGTTTGGTAAACCTGATATTTTTCTTACGATGACTTGCAATCCTCAATGCTCCGAAATTAAAGATAATCTTGATGGATGTTTAATTGAATTTCGACCTGATTTGGTCGCTAAAACATTTAATTTGGATGTCAAAGAAGTTTTAAAAGATTTAACCCAAAATAATATTTTTGGAAATATTGTAGCTTATGCAGGTGTGATTGAATTTCAAAAAAGAGGACTTCCACATTTGCATTTACTTGCAATGTTGAGTGATGAAGATAAGCCCAGACTTCAAGAAGTCATTGACATGATGGTATGGGCTGAAATTCCTGACAAAGAAAGATATCCAGAACTTAATGTAAAAGTTTTGAGGCACATGATTCATGGTCCTTGTGGAGATCACTCTCAGAGATATCCTTGCACTGGGGATGATGGAAAATGTTCAAAAGGTTTTCCAAAAGAGTTTCGTGAAGAAACTAATGCTAATGTAAATGGATATCCTATGTATCAACGAAGGAATTTTAAGAAAAAATACATCGTCAGAGGAAAAGAAATTGATAATCGATGGGTAGTACCATATTCACCATATTTAATTATGAAATATGATCGACATATCAATTTGGAAATATGTTCATCAGTGAAGAGCGTAAAATACTTATATAAATATATTCATAAAGGATTTGATTGTGCTGCAATTGAAGTACAAGCACAAGATGGCACAAGGTTAATTAAAATAGATGAAGTTAATTCATACCTGGATGCAAGATATGTTAGTGCTCCAGAAGCAATGTGGAGACTGAACGGATATGATCTGTTCATGAAGTCTCACACAGTAATAAGACTGGCAGTTCATTTGCCTAATCGCCAAATGGTTTATTTCCGAGCGGGAAATGAAGAACAAGCTGCTCAAAGAGAGCTAACTCGAGATACCACGTTGACTGCATGGTTTAAATTAAATCAATCTGATGAAAATGCGGTGCATTTTCTTTACACAGATATTCCTTATCATTATATCTATGATAAAAAAGAAACTAAGTGGAAGCCACGCAAAAAGGGTGGTGATAAAATAATTTCAAGACTTTATACAGTAAGTATAAAAGATATTGAGAGATTTTATCTCCGTCTTCTTCTACTTCATGTAGTTGGAGCTAAATGTTTTGAAGATTTGAGAACTGTAAATGGAGTTCTTTATAAAACGTTTAAGGATGCAGCAATTGCAAAAAATTTGGTAGAAGCTGATGATCTTTGGGAAAAAACGCTGGAAGAAGCAACAGATTCCAAAATGCCCGTACAACTTCGAGAGCTATTTGCCTACATTTGCATCTATGGAACTCCAACAGATGTACTAACTCTTTGGAATAAATATAAAGATCACATGATTGAGGACTTTGTACACAACAATGTTGTCAATCCTGAAAATATGGCTTTAAACCATATACAAGAAATTCTGAAAAATAATGGAAGTAGCTGTGAGAACTTCCAATTGCCAAATCCAATTCCAGTGAATATTTACGTCACAGAATATAATGTAGATGAAGAAAGAAGACGTGGTGACTATTTATTATCAACATTAAATGTTGAACAAAGATACGTGTACGATATAGTTATGCGAGCGATTGACAATGAGAATGAACCTCAGCGGTTATTTTATATTGACGGGTTTGCAGGAAGTGGAAAAACCTATCTATTTAACACATTTCTGAGTGTTATTCGAGGAAAAAATGAAATGGTTATTCCATGTGCTTCAACTGGCATTGCAGCCACACTTCTAAAAGGAGGAAAAATTTATCATTCCCTGTTCAAACTTTCAATACCAATTGATGATGGAGCTAAATCTAATATAAGAGGAAACTCTCAAGCTGCACGAGAACTGATCTCTGCTAAACTCATTATATGGGATGAGGTGAGCATGACGGTTGGGCATGCCTTAACAGCAGTTGATAAACTCTTCAAGGATCTAATGAAGAATCCTAGACCATTTGGAGGAAAAGTTATTTTATTTGCAGGAGATTTCAGACAAAATCTCCCAGTAGTACCTCATGCACATAAAGCAGCCATAATTGAGTCAACTGTCAAATACAATCCTATATGGAGAAATGTAACTCAGGTTAAATTACAGCAAAATATGAGAACTGCGGATGAAAAGGAATTTGCAAATTGGCTAATGCAATTAGGAGATGGTAAATTGTCAAGTACAGATGGATTACATCTTGATACAATTGAAATCCCCCAGGATTTTATATCAAAAGAATCTATTATTACTGAGATTTTTGGTGATAGAATCACCATGGAACAGATTAGAGAAAATCCAGATCGAGCGATTCTTTGTCCTAAAAATGAAGATACTTTCAAAATTAATGACGAAATCCTTCGTTTAATGGAAGGAGAAGAAAAGGAATATCTATCAATTAACTCTATTGTAAGTGATGATCCACAAGAGCAATTGAATTATCCGACT